TTACAGGGGAGTATGAATTCTATAAGGCATAGCCTTCAATCATACAGCCAATCACACTAAGTACTGGACACATCATATCTTTTGATTAATTGTTCATTATATTAATAACTGCAAATACCAAACTGTCAGAAATAGTAGTCCGGATAGCGACGGTTATATCATAATGAGTTCCAAATTACTGAGTCAAGTTCCGTCTAGGGCCTCGCATGAGCCTAAATGATGACAGATATAACACAGCCATTTACTAGTAACCAGCTAACCAAGTCGGTCAACAGATACGCGAAAACTAATTCATGACAATACCATGATGTCCCATTCTGTATGTAAAAACAATGCATTTAAGGTACGCGGGTAAAAGTACAATATATATATTGCGGTGATATCAATTATATATTTATAACTATGCAAACCGAATTAGTACCACAACGCCAACTTTTCATGACCATTCACTGTTTTGGGTATAGCTCTGCAGGTAGTTCTTTACATGTAACGCTAAAAATGAGTGACAGTTGTGTGGAATCTAAGGTTTTCGTTTCGATTTGAAGATTTACCTTCTATGGCGAACATGGTTTACACTCTACTGGCATTGGTGTACAATCAATAAAGTGTGTTCCTGTACACTTATTACGTCACTCTAGAAACCACTAGTATTATTATATATTGTTTTATCTAATGCCAATAAGTTGCAGACGTTATACTCGTATGATATGGAAATAAGGATTTCAATTACTATTTTTTGTCTAGGTACTGCCCGTAGAAAATAAAATGCAGCACCCACACTATTTTAAGCATGTGTTATACATTGGTATGGCTATAGTAGTGGTGCTTTTCGTCTCCATGGGTACGCTGGGCTACATGCGTTTTGGTCACGATGTTGCCGATACAATAACATTAAATCTTCCCCAAAATCAAAGGTAAGTTTCGACTTGTTGCTTTCACCTTTATTTATATTCTCGTCCCAGGAGAACAGGGGTCCCAAGGGTCTGCATACTCAAAAAGGTGTATGCAAATGCATCTGTGATGCGTCAAACTAGTTTTCGGTGTCTTAATTATAACTGAATTTGTAAATATGTTAACAATTTGATCGAAGCTATTCGTTTTAGTCTGTTTAACGTGAAAAAATGAAATGAATCCTAAATATAGATCCATTTTTTGTCTAACGATGAGTCAATACAAAAACAAGCCATTAAAATGACACATATTTATAATTTTCTTCAACATGGTTTTCATGTACTCACATAGCAAAGAAAAACATAGATCACAAAATCAACTTAAGGTGAATGTCTACACTTAATGTTTAAAGGGTAATTCAAGTATGTTGGAGAAATGATGAATTGTTGGAGATTTGTTTTTTTATCTTTATATCAAGTCATTACGTATCGTAATGTCCTGAACAGTATTTGTTAAAACCAAATGGCCGACAGTCTGCCATTTTTAATTTAATCTTGGAAAATGATGTGCATCAAGGACCCATTATGTTAAATTTATATACCAAGTTTTTAAAAAAAAAATTGTTTGGTCCCGAAATGGCAGAAATGCTTGATTTTGATCATTTTAGCACTAAGGTAGCCGTCATTTGGAAATATTGAATCGAACCACAAAACAAATGCATGTACGTGTAAAATTTGATAAATCAGATAAAACAAAATGGCCGCCAGCCTGCCAACATATATCTGTAATAGGTCATAGTTAAGCGGTAATATAGTCTGATTGGTCATTCGTTCACGGTGAATGTTAATCTCTTGTTCCAGTGCAAGATTACTTATATCACAACTGATTTGTAATTCTTAGGCTTTACATATCTGTGAAGATTATGTTCTCGATGGCCGTATTTGTCAGCTATGCAGTACAGTTCTATGTTCCGATAGAAATCACATGGCCAACTTTACGAGATAAGTTACCAGAGAGATTCCAAACATTTGGCGAATACGTCTACCGAACAATATTAGTTCTTATTACATGTAAGTAAATAAATGTTTTATAATTTGAGGACAATATGGATTAAATCAAACATAATTATATTTGGAATAGTAATAATTTGAATTTAACGGGAAAGTATGTACAACATCAAATGATATACCTGTGAGCGCTTTCCTGTAATTATATGTAGTAGTTTTGGAAGCGAAGACAAATATACAAACATAATACTGTAACAGTAAGGTGCAAACAAATTAATTCCCCTGCTTTTCCCCAAGAATTGAATTTTGTTCCTCACAAAGAAAGTAAATTCAAGTCGGTTTTTAAAAAATATCCATTTGCAGTATATATATATTTCAACTGGGTCCCCGGATATATGTCTTGAGTTATATTCAAAATTACAGACACATAAATATATAAACATGAAACAAGAAATTCGAACACACAACTCAACACAACAAATGCGCCTCGCCATTATAAGCATAAACACTTCCCGTATACTATTTAAATGTCTATACCTAAACATACTTGACATCATTGCAGTACAGTGTAACGTAATTCACAATTCCTTTGGCCGTAAATCCGTACAATGATGCGACGTCGAATCGCTAAATTTGCATCGAATAAATGTGCGCAAACAAACTGACATAAAATACAACTCTACCCAGCAAATTGGCGCATAAGAATAATTTGGTGTGCGATATGACTAATTCAAGCTCAAATGAATATTTGAATTGATTTTGTATTTGTTAATGTCCATTATGTCAGTATATTAGAAAAAGGCCTAAAAAGCATAAAACTTGAAATGTAAAGATTGAAGTATATGAATCAAACATAAATATGTGAATTTTGCACATGCAAATGTGTTTACAATCCATATTTCATGCTTTAACTTTCTCTCTCTTTTTTTTTATTCTTGTTTACAGTTGGTTTCGGCGCTCTTATACCAAAGCTTGGTCTTTTCATATCATTGATAGGATCACTTTTAGGAAGCAGTCTAATTATGATTTTTCCACCAATTATCGATGAACTTGTTTTCTACAATGGTTATAAAAAGCCTTCGGCAGTGTTGCGACTTACGAAAAATACTATTATTGTTTTACTTGGGTTTTTTGGGTTTATTTTTGGAACATTGGTGTCAATTATCAATTTAGTAGACGCATTTAAGCCAGTGACGAACATAGGAAACATGACAACGATTCATACTACGGAAATGACGCCCACTAGTTTTTGAAATCACTAATATTTAATGAACAGCCACATATTAATTACTCAAACGATAAATAGAATTGATAAAACCGTTATTTTTTTGGAATTATGTTAAGCCTATATTTGTAATTCAGACCAATAGCATTGTGTACATTTTCGTTCGAATGAAATGTTCGAACTGTAAATAATGTGTACAGTATTAGTATATATTATGAGGTTGGAATCGCTGAGTTATCTGTGCTGTATTGAATATATATTATTTTTATATATGCATTTTATTGATTCAAGGTATACTGTAAAATGACTAATTTTTACTGGGTTTAAATTTCACTGATTTAGCATTTCAGGCATATTCAGTGGGTTTTAGTTAAATTCACGCTTTTATCATTTAGATAATGTGTTTTATGCTAAATTTTAAATATTCACTGGGTTTTAATTTAGTGCATTTTCCAGTCAGCGAAATAAGCTAAATTAAAACCCAGTGAATAATAACCATTTTACAGTATATGCAAGTTCATGAGCAATCAGATCCCTCAAAGTATGGTTTTAAATTGTTTATGATTTGACCTTGTTGGCTTCACACTGAGTCTACTTATGTAGGACGTGTCAAAAAGTTGCTCTACCAATATCAATATACAGAAGCTTACATGATTGTTTATTTCTTCAAATGGGCATTATTTACGTGTTTATTCATTTGACGAGAGGGTTTCAAACTTAAATATCCTCCAAATTTGTATCTATTTGATTTAAAGCAGGAGGGTCGTCACCTGCGAATGCGCGGGAATGGAGTCCCAAGCGCGTTGTGTCGTCACAAGAAGCGCTGTTCCAGCACAGACCGAACTCCGCATAGTTCGATACGCGTTACTTCTCATCACTGCACAAAGCAGCTTTGCATAGAACTCATTTGCATATTCGAACAAGTTCTAACTACAAGACCCTGTCGATTAACAAAGTTATGCGTAAATCACTTGGTTACATTAAACACTTTAATAAGACGTTTCACGCCCCGACTCCGAATAAAATGTTCTGTTAATTAGATTAAAATATACACGAATAGTTCGGATGTCACATACGTTTTTTCCCCACTTTTTGTAGTACGTTTTCAGATGTAACAGGTACAAGAAAATGGCCGTGCGTAGTGAGGTGATTGACCACAAAATTGAAGGCTGCCTGTGACGAGGCACTATTGCGTAAAGCGCAAAGGCCTGTGGGAAGGAGATTGAGCACAGACCTGTGTCATATGTTCGCTGGTTCCCGGCGTCCTTTGCGAATGGTAGGTAGGACGCAGGTAACTAGTAATCGCCATATTGTTCCATTTCGTTGTGTCGTCACCGGAAGCGCTGTCCCAGCACAAACCTGTGTCATATGACGCCTTACTAGCCGATTTTGGCTAAAATTCCGCTCCGCCGCCTCTTTACAACAGTGATATTGCTTTTTACAATTTGGGTTGCCTTTGAATCACATATGTTAGTGAAATATTGTTTATAGAGTGAAATATTATTGTCATACATAATTCTATCTTTGAAACAACAGAAACTAACACATAATAACGATAATCAAATTTGTGTTTGAAGTTCGAAAGTAGTTGCGTTATTTCCGGTTTCAACTAGTTCGAAAATAGAACGTCCTTGAGCGCAATAAAATCACGCGTAGAACTCCATCCGAACCAGACTCTAGCAGCGTAGACTTATTGCAATTTGGGCCCAGTTTGTTCTTACAAGTTTTCTAAGTTTCATTTATCGTTATTTAGTAAACAGGTCTCTGAAACGATTTAATATATCTGTAAAATACGTGGCAATCGACAATAGACTTCGAAACGTTCGGAATTTCGAACAAACTCCCGGCACACCTAGCGCGATATGCGTCAGATCGGTGTAGAAGACGCCGAACTGCAGCGTCAATGACCGGCCTCTTGTGGCTTGGTACGCCATGACAATGCATTCTCTACCATCGGCCCCACGGACCGGAGGATGGCGCGTGACCCTTGTTACGCAGGATGCAGCCAATGTCATATGACGCCTTACTAGCCGATTTGGGCTAAAATAGCGCTCCGCCGTCTCTTTACACTAGTGTTTATACTCGGAACTTGATATTTTTTTTCCCAATTTAAGTTGCTTTTTAATCACGTATTTTAGTGAAATATTGTTTAGTGAGTGATATATTAATGTCATAAATAATTCAATATTCGAAACAACAGAAACTAACACATAATAACGATAATCAAATTTTTGTTTGAAGTTCGAAACTACTTGCGTAATTTCCGGTTTCAACTAGTTCGAAAATAGAACTTCCTTGAACGCGATAAAATCACGCGTAGAACGCCTTCCGAACCAGACACTAGCAGCGTAAACTTATTGCAAATTTGCGCAATTTGGACCCAGTTTGTTTTTACAAGTTTCATTCATCATTATTTAGTAAACAGGCCCATGAAACGATTTAATATTTCTGTAAAATACGTGCCAACCGATGACTGACTTCGAAACGTTCGAAGTTTCGAACTCCCGACACACCTAGCACGATATGCGTCA